TGTCATGCCCAATCAAACACTGAGATATGTTGTAAGTCTTGATTTCTTTTACCCTTTTTCCAATACTTTTAAGATGGAAAAATTTAATTCTGAGTTGGTTGAATTTGAACTTGTTATGGCATCCCTTGATGAGCCATGTGTATTTGTCGGGTGATCACAAGGATTTCTGCTGTTTAGGCATGTCCTGCCATTGATTATGCTTAAAATCTGTTTTTTAGGTTGTAGATGACCTCCGTGCTTAGGGTATTCTTCTAGTGTTTCTTTACTTCTTTACGGTTAATGTTAATGGTTGTTACGGATTTGCCGAAATATTGCTTTTCCCAATGGCTTTTAGAGATAGGTCAGTTCTCTGCATTTGTGAGGTTCTGTGGATGGCCACTTCAGATAAGAATTCTTGCTTATGATTTCATGATTTTGATTCTGCATGTCATGAAGATTTATGAAGTAAAATCTTCATCCATTATCCTGTTTAGTAAATTGCTGCACTATGAACAGGTGATTCCAAATGCGGGACATTCTGCTAATGAACATGGCATAGCAGCAGAGCTTGTGGGTGCAAATGAGAAGCTCAAGAATATTGTGAAGAACCGAGGATAGTGAATTTTGAGTAAGATGCGCACGACAGGGTATAAGCAATTTTCTCACCTACCTCAGTGGAACAATCTTGATGTTGATGCATCCAGAAATGGAAGGTGGTTGCAAATAAATTGAAGATGGTTTGGTGCAATGGCTAGTAGACTTTTAACATGCTTCCTTGTGTTTCACGTTTTATGCTTTCATATGTGCCAAATGCCCCACCAAAGCATGATTTATTTTGCACATATAATTTAAAATCGCTAGTTGACTTGGAATGTCAAGGATATGCACAATTTGCTTGCAAATGAGCAGTATAGTAGCATAACTTGAACCTGATGGTCACAATGTTATTTGCAAAGAGGTCCGTGGAGTGTTTGCTGCACAAATAGTTTGTTAATCTCATTTTTCATAGTCACCTGGAAGTCACTTCAGCCATTTGAGCTTCAAAACTATGCCAGGAAATAGCATTTTGAACTCATTGCAAAATAAGCAAGATTCTATTGATGTTATTGGGAATTTTCAGCGTGTTTATCCTGTTACAATTGATAATAAGTGTACACAATTGATACATAGCTCCTAAAAGAGACAAGTCTAGATTGCCTGAAAGTTGTTATATGGTGTTGGTTGGACAAGAATTCTTGTATATATGCGTCAAGTTGTGCAGAAGAGATTATAGAGTGTGTGGTGTATCGGTAGAGTTCCATTACAACCACAAGACCCTTGATTAGGTTTTCAATGAATTTCTAGAGGAATGGTTCACGCTAATTATCACAACACATAAGCAGGAAATTTGTATTCATAACACCCTAGCCCTCGCTGAGTACCAATAGATATTTCACACTAAGATCGAGCAATAAGATGCACATTTGCTTATATTAAAGTAGGGAAAGGTTCATGGCAAAGAGAAAAAGAAATAGGAGAAAGTATGAAAAGGTGATGCTTCTTCACCACAATGGTTGTGATCATTTTTCGTTTTTCGCATCCAGGTTACTAATGAACGTTAAAAAAAAATGCTACCTTACCCATCTTCACTGGGCTAACGTTGTCTAAGAAACAAAAAGGAATATATTCATTATAAGCTAGCCCAGTCGAATAACAGCAAACATTTCACGCTGAGATTGAGCAATAAGGCACATTGCTTAGTTTAAAGTAGTAAAAGGTTGATGCTACTTTGCAACAATGGTCATGAAAAAACGATCCTTTACCAATCATCTATAAGAAGCTAAATGCCTTGAAAAACCAAATTTGACAACGAATAGTAAACTCTCCGATCCACATACAATTAGAATGCGGGGTAGAATGGGCTTCGATAATTGCCCTGTAGAAAAAGACTCTCCTTTTTGTATTCAATGAATATGTTTTCTGTACATTTACAATGCTCAATCCTGTTATATATATAGGACATATGAAAACCCTAATTAAGAGATATACAATAGGAAGGATTCTATACTAAGAAGAAATATATACAATAAAAATGCCTAACAAATAGGCTAAAATAGCTCACGACCACACTCCCCCTCAAGTAGGTGCAAAGATGTCTTTGATACCCGACTTGATAAGTGAGCAATGAAATTCTCTACTTGATGAGCCTTTGTCAATATATCGCCTAACCGGTCTTCGAGACTTGACAAATGGTAACTGGATCACTTTTGCCTCCAAATTCTCTTTGATGAAATGTCTATCAATCTCAACATGTTTGGTTCTATCATACTGAACTGGATTATGAGCAATATTTATGGCTGCTTTACTATCACAAAACAATTTGATTTCCAAACCTGGTCGATACCCGAGCTCAGTTAGCAGCTTCCGAAGCCATAGAAGTTCGCATAACCCCTTTGCTACACCTCTGAATTCAGCTTCTGCACTAGACCGAGCTACAACCTTTTGTTTCTTACTTCTCCATGTAACAAGGTTGCCTCCCACAAATGTAAGATACCCTGATGTAGACCTCCTGTCTGTCACACTTGCAGCCCAATCTGTATCTGTGTAACCTTCTATTTCAAGGTGGCCATTCTTTGCAAATAGCAACCCCTTTCCTGGGGCTAACTTAAAATATCGAATGATGCGCCACACAGCACTCATATGATCCTCACTAGGTGCATGCATGAACTGACTCACCACACTTACTGCATGAGCAATATCAGGACGTGTATGTGATAAGTAAATCAATCGACCTACTAACTTTTGGTATTTCTCTTTATTAGTAGGCGTCTGATCAGGGTACTCTCCAAGCTTACAGTTTTGTACCATAGGAGTGTCTGCAGGCTTGCAATCTAGCATGCCAACTTCGGTCAAAAGATCAAGAACATACTTCCGCTGAGACAAGTAAATCCCTTCCTTCGACCTAGCAACCTCGATTCCCAGGAAATATTTCAGACCTCCCAAGTTCTTCATCTCAAACTCCCTAGATAATAATTCCTGCAGTCTCATAATCTCTACACTATCATTGCCTGTAATAATCATGTCGTCTACATATATGATAAGAGCTGTCATTCTTCCTTGAGTACCTTTTAAGAACAAAGTATGATCTGAGTTACTTTGGGAGTATCCATACCCTTTCAAAGCTGAGCTAAAGCGACCAAACCATGCATGAAGGGACTGCTTCAACCCATACAATGATCTTTCCAGCTTATAGACCATGTTCGGCTTATCTGCGCATCTGTATCCAGGTGGAAGCTCCATATAGATCTCCTCCTCTAAATCTCCATGAAGAAATGCATTCTTCACATCAAATTGATGCAAAGGCCAATCCAAGTTTGTAGCCAGAGATAACAACACTCTTATAGTGTCTAACTTTGCAACTGGAGAGAATGTTTCCTGATAATCCACCCCATAAGTCTGTGTATACCTTTTAGCTACCAGTCGCACCTTATACCTCTCAATAGTGCCGTCTGCCTTATGTTTGACTATGAACACCCACCTACATCCAACCGGCTTTTTATCATTTGGTAGTTCCACAAGTTTCCAAGTTCGATTTTTCTCCAACGCCTCCATCTCTGCCTCCATCGCTTGAAGCCATTTCGGATCCTTCATGGCTTCTTCAACCTTGTTTGGAACTTGAACTGAGGAAATCGTAAACACGAAGGCTTGTAGTGGTGTGGACAGCCTCTTGGCAGACACATAGTCTGCAATAGGGTATCGAGACCGGCGGTCCTCTACATCTGGAGAATATCGATTTGGTGGTTTACCCCTATTATGCCTATCGGGTAGCTTATAACCAGTAAGCACATCAGTATCTTCAAAAGAATCAAGTACAGTAGAAGTACTTACCTCAGGTACATTCTCAGGAGCTTGGAGTGGTACTGAAGAGGGCGAAGACAAGGAGGGCTGTTGCAGCTTTGCATCTGTTGACACTTGTTCGGACCCATGCAGTAATTCAGTGTTGTCTGGTCGTGCAGCCTCAGAATCCTCAGAATCATGCGGCAATAGCTCAAAATTCTCAGCCTCAGCAACCTCAGAATCACGTGGCCATGCGCACCCATCCATTGCTCCTGCAATTCCTACCTCCCACCAATGTCTGGTTCTACAACTAGTCTCCCCCTGAACAGGGCACTGGGGAGAAGGAAAATAGGACTCTGTCTCGATAAATGTTACATCCATGGTGACATACGTGTGCTTCCCGGCAAGATCATAACACCGATACCCTTTCTGAGAAGGGCCATAACCAAGAAACACACATTTGACTGCACAAGGGTCAAGTTTGGTCCGCTGATTTTTGTGAAGATGGACATAAGCGACACACCCAAACACCTTAGGAGGCAATGTAAGAACCGAAGGAAGAGACACATGGGCAGCAAGTGCTTGCATTGGCGTACGATAGCTCAAAATGCGGGAAGGCATGCGATTCAACAAATAAGCAGCTATGACTACGGCAGAATCCCAAAAACGATGGGGAACATGGCTACCCTCCAAGAGTGCTCGAGTGGTTTCAAGAAGATGGCGATTCTTACGCTCAGCAACACCATTCTGCTGAGGAGTCTGAGGGCAAGAAGTTTCATGTATCAAACCATGTTCTTGAAAATAAGCTGCAAGAGGTTTACTTAAGTATTCGCCACCATTATCAGATCTGAGAACCTGAAGTTTGGCCCCAAACTGAGTCTGAATCATACGGTGGAAAGTCTGAAAGATAGCTTCAGCCTCATTCTTATGTTTCATCAAATATAGCCAAGTCATACGTGTGCAATCATCAACAAAGATGATAAACCATCGAAACCCAGATACAGTAGTAATAGGAGACGCACCCCATACATCAGAATGAATTAAGGAAAAAGGAGTAGAACTTATATTCAAACTGGGAGGAAAACAAGTGCGATGGCTCTTTGCCAAAATACATGTATCACACTGAAAACTAGAGTTTGATAGACCATGAAATAACTTGGGAAACAATTGCCGTAAATACCCAAAGGATGGGTGACCTAACCGACGGTGCTATAACCAAAGTTCCTTCTCTTGAGCTAACTGTCCACGAGAATGATAGGTCCGTCCAGAAGTAATTTCATCCACGAAATACAGCCCCTCCCTCTTAGTACCACGCCCAATAATCTCCTTCGTGAGAATGTCCTGAAACAGGCAAAAATCAAGGTACATAAGCACAACACAGTTCAACTCACTAGTAAGCTGTCCAACTGATAACAGACGATTAGACAATGAAGGAACAAGTAAGGTATGAGATAGAGAGATAGAAGGTGTGACAGACACACGTCCAGCAGCCGTCACAGGAAAGCTATGTCCATTAGCATTGTAAATATGATCTCGACATGGTGTAGTAGATGTAAGAAGGTCACCAGATTCCGGAGTCATATGATCTGTAGCGCCAGAATCAATTATCCACCCATGATGACCATCACCATGTCCATTAGCAAAGACAAACCCACAATTACCTTCAAGAGATTCGGCATTATCATATTCAAACTCCATGGAAATTAATGACAAGCTGCTAGTCACTAAGGAGGCTTGCCCTCCATTATGCCCCTTTTGGGAGCCTAGTTTCTTCTTCTTGGTCTGAAAATCATCCCACCAGTCCGGATAACCATGCAGTTTAAAACAAGATGCTGCTGTATGCTTAGGATTCCCACAGTGAGAGCATCCCTCGGATTGAATTGGCATACCAGGTTTAGGGCGAGGTCCCCGGGCAGAAAGCACTAACTGATCACCCTTGCCCCGCTGTGACACCATAGCGGAACCAGAGGTGACCTCAACAGGAGTGGAGAGCATGACAGATTGGCGCATATCCTCTCGCCTGACTCGGGCATAAGCTTGCTCAATAGTGGGAAATGGATCCATCTTCATAACATCAGCACGAACATTATCCAGGCGGTCATCGAGACCATCCAAAAAAGTATAAACTCGATCTTCATGGACAATGGCATTGTACCTCAGAATATCGGCCGGACATTGCATAGGATTAGGACGGCGGAAATCAATCTCACGCCAGAGCCCTTGAAGATCATTGTAATATTTCTCGATGGGTCCACCGCCTTACTTCAATCGAGAAACCTGCCTCTTAATATCATAGATTTGGGAGGTGTCAGATCCATAAAAAAAGGTCGTTGCCACAGCATCCCATACGGCTCTGGCAGTAGGAAACCGAATAAAGTTTGGTATCAAGGCTGGGTCTATAGAATTGATAAGCCAACCTTTCACCGTAGAATCATCGGTCTTCCATTGTCTAAAAGACGGATATGTAGGAGGGGGCTCAGGAGAATCACCATTCAAATAGCCCAGTTTGTCTTTGCCCGAGACATACATCTCAACAACCTGGGACCATACGCCATAATTTTTGCCATCAAGCTTGACAGCAATCGGTGCAACAAGAGGTTCAACGTGCGGCGGCGCGGCCTGCTGGGTCAAGAGCTGCTTCATCGCAGCGGTCAAGTCTGCCAGAATGGCAGTAGTAGAGGCACTAGCATCCGCTTGGTCAGTTGCAACACTCAGCTGTTCGTCGGCCATGAGATCAGCTTCGCAAACTGAATTGCGATGAAGAAGATCGAGTAAGACGCACGTCGGACGGCGTAATAGAGAAAGAAAGCGAGCCCAAACTATAGCGGGACCGCTGTAGTCGATGATTGGCGTACAGTACCCCAAGGATCAAACCCTAGGGCTCTGATACCATGTAGAAAAAGACTCTCCTTTTTGTATTCAATGAATATGTTTTCTGTACATTTACAATGCTCAATCCTGTTATATATATAGGACATATGAAAACTCTAATTAGGAGATATACAATAGGAAGGATTCTATACTTCGAAGAAATATATACAATAAAAATGCCTAACAAATAGGCTAAAATAGCTCACGACCACATGCCCGACATATAAAAATTATACGGTCATTTTTACGCATTCCCTGGACCGCAACACTGTAGGGGCAAGGTTCTTTTGCTGTTTCGAAATAGTGTATCTATGAGGAGTAGATGCAGCCATTTTCTGTCCGACTTCTCTATGAAAAGTGCTAGATTCAGGAGCTCTGATCTTCTACTACATGTCAGTAAAAGAATTTCAACCACGTTAGTGTTGCTAGGGTCGAGCGAGGGGCTAGGGGCTTTTTTTTTTTGGTCACTGAGTATTGATGACGACGAGGGACACAAACCTTTGCTTCATCGGCAACTCGTTGGCAACGACGGGGAACAAGGAGCGCCTGAAGCAGCAACAACGCGATGCGACAGAGCGAGCGCCGGAGCAACCAGGAATGCCGACGAGAGCGAAATTTGAGAGCGAAATCACGATTTCAAAATAATTTGAAAGCCTTCACTTTGCTGGAGAGAGGAAATGTCTTCTTTTAGATGAGACGAAAAGAACGAAGAAGATGAGAGAGAGGAGAGAGGAGAGGAGAGAGGCCTAGCCAATATTTTCTCGAACGGAGATCCAAACAGAGAAACAGATGGAAAGAGAGAGGAGCTGAATTTTTGAAAACTTCTGATGGTGGGTCCCGAAGGCCATGTGTCGAATTTTGGGTGGACTGTCTCAGCGATGACGTGGCAAGACAGTCCTAGCCAATATTTTCTCGAACCTTCAACCAGAAACAAAACACAGTGATGATCACATTGGTGTGTTGTAGCCCCGAGAAGGTCCGACAGAAGATATGTTGCAAGGGAGGAGAGATCATTCTAGGCATTGACATTATGCCCCCCAAGCAAGACAAAGGGGTGCAAAAACCGAATCCAGGTACAACGGATCCATCCCCTCAAGGACCACGTCCTCCACCCATTCCCCCTCCATCGGCGTCAGGTTACCTGCCAGTGTGTAGGATGGGCGGGTTGTATGTTTGTCCCCTGTGTCATAATTGGGCTTGCGATTGGTTCTGTCCATGCAACTATCACTACAGGAGGCCATCATGGCCGATGTGCCATGATAGGTCGGGAGGCCGGCCTACGAGTGCAAATGCGGGAGGCCACCAATGTGCCCTGATGGGTGTGGGAGGCCGGCCTACAAGTGCAAAAGTTCGTGCTTACTTATGTAAGCCGGTTTCGTCGTACTTGTTGAAACATGGTTTTCATTTCCATAGGTTGGGATTTTCACGAGATATCTTAAATAATGATGTGGACCTTCTACACGTACCATAGCCCATTCGGTACCCCACTAAATATTAACCATCGGTTTATGAGAATGATATTTTATTGACATTTTAAATTTATCGAGTCACCGAGAGGAGCATGGTATGGGGTAGAGTGTCTTTCCATTAGATATATGCAAACTTTGTTAGATCTTCATTATGTGTGCGCAAGAAGTTTGATGAGCCGAAAAGTGTCCCAGTCGATGAAATACTTTTCACCGAAAATTAGCTTTCAGTTCTATTAAGAGGTGATAGATTCCGTGGCGATTCCAGACAGGAGTCTCAATAGATCACACGGAACATATATGCTTTGTCGGAATCTAATCAATGACGAAGTACAAAACACTTTGCCGAAATTTAATCGATGACAAAGTGTGATGATAAAGATACAACGTCAAAATTTAATCGACGTCGATGATATGAAAACAACAACTAAGATACATGCCGGATTTTAATCGATGACGATGAAGTATCTGAAACTACGTCTAGAGTACGGGAATTTAAATTGCAGAAAAATAAAGATAAAGATAAATTTGCGAGAACATTGAGTACTTTGATTGATTGAAAGGGCTTTACAAAGAGTACACTGAGGCTATTTATAACCCTTACAAACGGTGGTTACACATGGCGGTGACTAAATTTGAAAGAAAAAATAACTCCCTTTTAGTGGTTACTGGAAGTTACTTCGTGAAAGAAAATGACATAACCAACCAATGGTAATCTTCGTGTCGATTGCTCACTGCCGATATCGATGACTTTGTCGAGAAACTATAAGACTGTCGTCGATAACTTCACGTTGTGTTGTCGATGACTTCACTGTTAAGTTGTTGATTTCCTTCAAGTTATCGGTAATTTGTTTATAAATAACCAAACTCTGCTCTCATTAGCTAATTTTATCACTTGTCGATAATAACCAAAAGTGGATCATTTTTGTGTAAACATATGCCCCATTTAAAAGAAATTAATGATTTATGAATCATTTGATTCTTTTATATTAGATAATCATGAGTCATCATGTGCCCTTTTGTCATCGGTAAATGCAATTTTTCTTTGCTAAATGTTATCTTGATCAGATTCAGCATCTGACATGTTTTTTCACAAAAGTCACGTCTTGCGTAATATCTTCATGTGGCCCTTTATCTCTGCCCTTAAGTAATTGCTCATACTTACACACTTGTAATGCCAATTGAAATAAATCGGCAAAGTTTTGGCCTTCTTTCTAGTCTTTTTTAATCTAGCAATAGACTAATCAACCAACTTATTATTATATTGATAGAGTGTGGCCAAATCAACAATCAATACCTTAGAATCATTTTATATACTTAAGAATGGAATTATCTCTCCATCTCTGTCCAATTGCACATCGAATTAAGTGGTAAATCAATGACCAGGTAAAAGCAGTTTTCAACGAAGACCAAGGAAATAACCTAAGTCTTAAAAACTCATTTTTCCCTACTCCTCCTCATTGGGCTACAAATTGACCAATGTGTTCAATAATCAATCGTTCAGCTTTGTTAGTAAAAATGGAAAATTTAGGGATTCAAAGCCTTTTGGAAATGGCCAGTTATCCATCCATTCAGGATGTGACTTCCTACAAACAGGTATGATAACACCCATGTCTAACCCCAAACGTTGTCGAACTTATTCGACAAACTGTGCTAGGTTCAATTGTGGATTTGGTTTGATCATTTTTCCCTCTAGGTGGTAACGCTGGTCTTGCCAGATTCTCAACGTTAATAGGTATGTTAGGCCTAATAGGAATATTCACATTGAGTGGAACTGGCCTTATATCTTTAACATTTGGCAATTATGGCATGTTGACCATTTTGAGTTTCCAATTATTGTCACCAATTTGGTTATTTTGACCAACATTAGCCTGATTATTCTCATCAATGTGACATTGATTAGAAAATTCAAGCCTTTGGATAATTCTTATTGGGAGTTGGCTACTCTAACCAATATTGTTGGCATCAATAAATGAAGAGGGAATAGGAACGTACCTTGTTACCACTGGATTTGATAGTGGTGGTTGATTGAATGATCTTAGCCTCGAGAAAACATCATTCATGACATTGAGAATGATTAGCTTGATCACGTGTGATATGTGACTTACAATGTAATTGGCTAAATCGTTCCACTTAATCTCTTCATAGTGGCCAACACTCGACTGATCTTCAGTGAGACGTTGGGAAAAATCTTGCATTGGCATTCTTCTACCTTCGGTTAACGGCTGAAGATCCGAAGTACGCAGACCTATCACTACCATTGGGATAATTACCTGCAGCATTGTTGGCTCTAGATGATTCCTTGTTCTCAGCAGTGAATTTCCTCAAATTGAACCACAAGTTTACCCACCAGGCATGCAAAAAAGATGTTTCATCGAAAAGTGTCCTAATCGACTAAATTGGTTCTTTGGTTTTATTAAGAGGAGACGGATTCTGTGGCGATTCTGAACAGGAGTCTCAATGAATTACAAGGAATATATATGCTTTGTAGGAACTTAATCGACGACGAAGTACAAAACACTTTGCCGGAATTTAATTGACGATAAAGTGAGATGATAAAGATATAATGTCACGACCCGAACCCTATCGAGCTCGTGCCATCCGCCACTGGTCGATTTTGCGACATCCGAGGATATATCGCCGACCTCAAATACGATCATCAGAGATTTAAATCGTCAGCGGGAACCACAAATCACCCGGACAATTAAATTGGGGAGAATATTCAGGGAGAATACACATATTTCTTTTCATTACCCACTTATAAAATATTCACAACTTACAACCGCCACAATTTACAACCATCGCATACACTTGCACACCGTATTACAAACCATCGATATACCAAAAAGATCGATGACCTGGCTTTCTATCCCCAAAAATGTTACTTTCCAAAAACCTACTAGGAACCCCTGAACTAACCCTTACGCCCCTTGCTAGGCGTCCATTCTGAGTCTGACTCATCATCACCAGAATCT